AGATGTATTATAAATCTAATAGGCAGCCTGTGATGGAATAAACTTAACAGTTACAAATGTTATCAAATGCATGATAAACCTATTGGAGAGTATGAGGCTCAAGAGGGCAATAGGAACCTATTTAGATAGAAAAAATAATGGAGAGAAATTGTGGGGAGGAAGATTCAAACCTATCGTTTGCTTATTATCCTTCTTTTTAGATAGCAATTTAGCCAATTACTTAATGTTGACTAAACAGCATTAGAATTAAATTAAATTCAAGAAATTTTTGCAAATAATTTTTAAAACCTATTAATATACTATCGTATAATGACTTATTAATCTTCTTTTAGATAGCAATTTAGCCAATTACTTCATGTTGAACTAAACCGCATTAGAAATCTAAATTAAATTCAAAGAACATTTTTGCAAATAATTATGTTAGCAAACTAATATTATATATATATAGTATATATATATAAATATTATACCAGTTTAAGTGATTCAACAACCAAAACAATAGTGAGGATGGTAGCAATAATAATAGTAACAAAGGCGACCAGTTTAAGTGATTCAACAACCAAAACAATAGTGAGGATGGTAGCAATAATAATAGTAACAAAGGCGACCAGTTTAAGTGATTCAACAACCAAAACAATAGTGAGGATGGTAGCAATAATAATAGTAACAAAGGCGACCAGTTTAAGTGATTCAACAACCAAAACAATAGTGAGGATGGTAGCAATAATAATAGTAACAAAGGCGACCAGTTTAAGTGATTCAACAACCAAAACAATAGTGAGGATGGTAGCAATAATAATAGTAACAAAGGCGACCAGAACAATGACGATGATAATAAAAATAACGGTGACAAAGGAGACAAAGGCGATGGCAATAAAAACGACAATAAATAGGTAAAATGTTATGATATTATTTTAATATTTAAAGTCAAACTGACATTTTTTTTTTAAATAAAGTTTTAAAATATGATATTTATTATAATATCCCAATTAGGAAATACAAAAATTTTCTAAACAGGCCTTTGAACAATACAGACCCGTATGTTACTATTGGGCTCAAAGCCCATATTTTGGGCTGGCAACACTCAGTTTAAATGCAGAACTGCAATCTGAAAGTTCTGTGGCCAACAGTAAGCTGAACACAAAAGGAAGGCCGCTATTTATGACTCTGGTTTAAATTACATTTTTACTGTATCATTATTGTTATTTATTTATTTATTTTCATGTGTTTCCAATGTTATTTTTGGTGTTTATTTTCTTGTAACACTAAGAATAATATATATATTAGGGACATTTGCCATCTCGTTTATGGTAAATTAAAAAAAAATTACTTGTCTCATCATAAATAATTTTGAAATTAACAAGCAGTTAGATTAATGAAAATGAACTATATCTCCAAACAAACTTTATCTAGAGTTAAAAATTTGGAGTTGCCATTAAAAAAAACAACTTATGTCCAGAGACGAGGCAACCGCATAGAGAAGGGGGACAATCGCCTCCTTGTCTTTTAGGAAAATAGAATCCTCTGATGATGCTAAGATTTGAACCTTGATGAATGGGCGAGACTACCTTTCAATCACATTGCCTCCCTTTTACTTTGTACATTATTTATTTAATTAAATTTTATATTATTTCCCTCCCCCCCCTATTTTTTTAGATCCTGCTTATGTCTAAGCAATCTGTTGATGGCCCTTAGAATAATTGTTGTCCTCTTGTTTCTTTTCAGTTCATTTTATAAATAAACAATTGAGATTTGACTGAACAATAAAGATCGTATTTTATTCTAACCAAAACACATTAAGAAGACCGGAAAGAACAATGGTGAAGATGCCGGTGCAAGAGAAATGGAAAGGGACATTTTAGTTATCAATCCAATAGATCATTGAGAATGGCTTAATTAGTTTGTGCTTAATCAGTAAATCTTTCATTATACTGTCGGCTCAACCGTCCTACTGGCGTTCAAGCTAGCCATATAGCTATTGTACACTTAATTGAAAATTTTTTTGTTGATCTCTCACGGCCACAATTAAACTTTGAAGAATTTTGCTAACAAGCAATCTATAATTTCAATATTCTCTCCTTTAAAATTTAAATTTTTCATTTTTTAAAATGTAGATATGAAATTTTTTTGCATCAACCTCTTGTATTTAATTCTTCGAAGTTATTATAATAAATTTAAATAGACATTTCTATTGTCCATAGTCTAAATCTACATCCATTACTGTATAGGCATAAATTTTAATAGTCACAATCAATGGAACTTTATAATTATTTCTGTTCCATAATATTTATCATATTTCTTGTTTCAAGAAATAATAAATTCATTTTTTTCATATTTACCTTTTATAGATTATCAATAATTATTACTTTAATTTAATGATTTTTTTAAAGAATTACTATTAAATTAAAGATAGTATAATTAATTTACTCAATCATTTATTATAATTTAAATAAATTTATTTATTTATTTAAAGAAATATTATATAACAGATGTAGCAGTAGAGTAAGTATATACTTTAGTTTTCAAGGAATCATTGTATTTTTTTTTTTGTAATTCTGAACTACCTACCACAGATGTGTGATAAATTTGCAACTATCAGCTGACCTACCAAAATATAGTGTGCCAAACCTCCTTTCTTTATCTATCTCCAATGGGTGCCCACAGGTTTTGCTGAGGCAAAATTATGCTCTTAGTCTTTTCTTTAGGTCCTGTCTTGTCTTTCATTAATTAACCTCTTTTGTGACTTAATTATCCCCACCAACACCACCAACTAGTTTGAACTGGACAGAGTGTTCCTTTCAGAAAATGACCCACTTATAAATGCATTTCTATTCAGCTAGGGGAAAATCAATTGGTGTATTTGTCAAAAAAAATTAATTAATCAATCAATTTTTGTCCAACGTTAAACTTTACAGCATTTAATTTTTTATAAAAAGTTTTTTCAAAATGTCCCTATACATGGTGTCATACTATGGTGACCCTATGAACAAAATAAGGCTATTGGAAATGAGAATAGCATGTTGAATGGTATTTGAACCAAAAATATAAGAGGAGAGACCCGGCGTAATGCTCTCCGCCGCCCCAAAGCTAGTATGCGAGACCGAACCCTAATGAGTTAGGATGCGGGCATCATGTTCTATCAAGAGGGACTGATGTCTCCATAGAGAATGAGCTCTATGGACACTATAAGGCCGAGGGCCTACAGTGCGCATCTCTCTTTAAATGAAGGTTTGGGTATAGGCAGGACTATGCTGCCCGGGATGCCCGAAAGCATGGAGCTCATATACTGTTGTGCGAGATCCTTAGATATGCATTGCAAGATGAGTCCTATAGTCGAAAAGGATGCAAAGACCCTTCGAATATGCATAGTTGGCCTAGGTTATGAGCTAAGTCTAGGAGCCACGCGCGTGCCAAAGGCTCCGAGATTCTAGCACCGTGACATTTATTATAAAAATTATATTATCGAATACTATAATTAATAAAAATAGAGTGTTAACTTTGTTAAAACGCTAAAAGCTAACTCAAAAGCAGTTATCAAGAGCTTAATGTTTAGAATTTGACCTAATTAACTATTTTTTTAATTTACTAAATATATTTTAAAATGTCCTCATATTATGTATCCGTGGTATCACTGCAATGGTTGAATACATTAATGAAAAGACAAAAATACCCTTATTAATTATCCTTAAAAAAAAAAATACCCCATTTAATTTTTAAATAAGACTTGTTTCAGGGTTTTTATTTTTATTTTTTTCTTATTCAAAATGTTGGCATATTCAAATGGCTCATATACAAATTAAATATGATTAAAAAAATAAATTTATTAATTAAGCCAAATTTGATGTTTGCATTGACGTGTATCTCCTCTTGATTTTTTTTTTATAACACTATTTTCTTCTACGTTGTCTAACACAAAAAAGAAGTGAAGGTGTTTTAATTTCATTTTATATTATATAATATTAATTCCAATTTAAATCTTGGAGGTTCTTTCAAATATTATTGCTAATCTTTTACGTCAGGGCGGCTTGACCTAACAAGATATATTAGTTTTATATAATATAATAATATTGAATGATAATGTGAAATTTAAGTAAAAGATTTTGCACATTATTTTTTATTTTGCACATGCAAATAAAATAACAAAGTCTTCTTAAATTTTACGTGTCTCAATAAAAAAAATTAGAGGAAGCAAATATTAGAAACGACAAAATAAATAGATAAAATAAAATAATTTATAAATTTATTGAATTATGTTATCCGTATAAATATTAGATCGAAGCTTTTTGCTCTAGGTGCGTTGAACAAATTAATCATGCTATATTAAATTTAAAAAATAAACAAAATAAATAAACACCATGTGATGCATAGATGATCACGTGGACTTGAGTTAAGACACAACATGTAATATATTTAAAAAACACATACCACGTTATTAGCGGTTGTGCACCAAGAACCGTGGAGAAGATATAGACCGCAAAAGATTTAATAAAACAATAATAAACGCAGAGGAACTGGAATTTATTATTAATTTATTATTTTGCAGGTGGCCTATTAGTTAGGCTACTACTTACCTACATCAAGCCTCAGTTGGCAGTTGGCACCCCACTGCTTTGCTTAATTGCTTTACAATAAATATTAAAGTATTTTATTTATTAGGTTGTGTCTGCTTTTGCGTCTACTAACTGTTTTCTATTTACATTTATTTTTTATCATTTTATGCATTTTCACACCATCTCAAAAGACAAAAGCATATATAGTCCATTTTAAAGTAATAAAATGATATATAGTTACGTCAAATTAATACGATATGTTATATATGGTTCATTTTAAAGTACCAAATTTTGGTAGTCCATATGTTATATTTTAATAATTTATATATGATAGTCAATGCATTAGATTATTACTATTTTTAAATTATTAGTTTAATACCATACTTATAGTTTGCTTAATATAGCAATAACTATTTTGTACAGGTAATCAGAGAAAGAAAGGCTACTTGAAATGCCAAACTTGAAAACTCATAATTATATTCCATCCAAACAACTACATTTTTGAATGTCATTTGAGACCATTGTCGCCTCGTACAAACAAAATTATAACTCATAAAGCTAATTAGAGCTACTCATAATTATTATTATTATTATTATTATACCTTGTATACATAAATTACATTGAACAAAAAAATCCGAAGCACAAAAGAATCACAAGTGTCATAACAACACCTTCCGGTGGCACTCTCGCGGGGATGATGACGCAGAAATTGCCGACTAGTCATCAAATAATTTTCTTCATCCCAAACATGGATGGCTTCAGTATTTATATATTACCAAGTATGTTTTACTATTATCTCGACGATTGGAAGGTTCAATCATCACCATACATCACGCAGATACCTGCCACTCGTTTGCAGATTCTTGACCATGCTTTCGGCCCGGGAATTGCTGAGAGATCCCTGAAATGAGAAGCAAAAGACGATCTGATTAATGACATGGACCCAATTAAATTAATTTACAAGTATCAATTGCTTCGCAGTAGTCAAATTTAACATCTACGAATAAAAAAGCATGCCGGAGACGTGGAATAGAGCACAGCCATGAAAGTGACATTTCTCTACTATGAAGGAGATTTTAGCCTTCAAGGCACAGGTAGAGGGTATATACATCACCATCACCATATCAAAAAGAGAGTATGCAAAAATGACGATTGGGTTGTGGGATATTTGTCCATATACAGGAGAAAGTAATGGGACATTCTACACGAAAATTCCAACCACGAAAAATGAATGATGTGGCTTTTTTGGAAGCACATTTCCTCTATACCACGAAAAATGAATGATGTGGCTCTTTTGGAAGCACATTTCCTCTATAATAATTAGGTACACCGGGACTAGGAGATTCACAAAGAAGAGATATTTCCCTCTTTTGTCAATCCCTTCGTTCCAGGGTTTTAAGTACAGTAAGCAAAAGTTGGCCAATAGTTCCACACTACCGCTGATATTCAAAAATAAAAAACATAATACAAAGATACCAAAACTCATTTGAAAACATCATACCTGCTCTTGTGCAATTGTGTGGAGTGTTCTATGAACATCTCTAGCCATGCCTTTGGCATCACCACAGACATATATATATGCTCCCTGAGAAATCAGGTTCCAGATATCTGAAGCCTGCAAATTATAAACAACAAATTGGATACAGCAAAAACATGAATTGATACATCAGATTAATCAGTTAACCAATCGATTGAAACAAAACAAAACACTGGCATCCAAATCTCCTATCGAGGATGCAGGTGAATCAGATACAATACCTTCTCCATCATTTTATGCTGCACATATTCCTTGGTAGGTCCCTCACGTGAAAATGCAACCACCAACTCAGAAAGTGCACCACTTCCAACAAAGTTGCTGAGTTCATCTTGATAGATGTAATCCTGAAAGATTAAGAATGTCAATCACTGAAAATGGAGGGCAGTACTAGTCCTGCACCAGAACTACAAGGGCATGACTTACCATCTTACTGTTCCTGCAACCAAAGAATAATATGGAGGATCCCAGTTCTGCTCCAGATTCTTTCAGGGCTAACCTTTCCTGCAAAAGGCAATATTCAATATAGACAACTAGCTTAGATAGATATCAACACAATGAAAGATGACAAACAAATAGCTCAAATTTTCGAGCTAAACCTGCAAGAAACCCCTGAAAGGAGCTAGACCAGTGCCAGGGCCAATCATAATAATGGGGACTTTGGTGTCTGAAGGAAGCTTAAAGTTTGATTGACGAACAAAAATGGGTGCCCAACTGCATTCACTGCTTTTCTCCAAAGGCACAGAATTCTGCAGGGAGAGTGAGGAAATAGATGAGTGAAATTCTATGAAAATTTCAAATTTCTGAAACCGAAACAGGTTTCTGACAAAAAATAATCCATATCATAGTAGTAATATCGATGTCAGGGCAAAAGACTATCAGACTGGATTCCGCTTGCCACAGTTGGACAATGTAACTCATGAGACCAAAAACTTCAAAACAGATCCAAAAAGCAAGAAAATGAGGAATAAAGAAAACAGCAAACAAATTAAAAGTTACCTTCATCCAAGTTGAGCACACTCCTTTGTGTACCCGTCCAGCTGGTGTTTTCTCAAGAACCAGTGCACATGTAACATGAATTCTAGATGGTGCCATACTGCAGAGCATTATTTCAAGTGGTAAGCATGTAAACAATCCAGAGGAGAAAAAAATAAACCACAAATAGAAATGAAAAAATGAAAATATCCCATGTGAGAATTTCCAATTCCCCCCACAGTGCATGAACCTTAATAACTATGGAAATTTCAAATTTAACAAGTAGAGCTCCCTACTAAAAGTGGAGCTGTTTTCTTTTTCCTTAAAGGAAGGTACTGGTTTGTTCTTACTGCCATTATTCCTAAAGCATATGAAATCCTAATCAATCTTCCATTATGTCAGATAACTCAGCTGAAAAACACTCCAGCAAAATGCTGAAACTTTCCCCAGAGAAGAGTCAGAAAAATATTCACCTTGGGGATGATGAGATAGAATAGTATCTAGGCTGCAGGCGAGGAGCAACTGCGGCAAAGAAGACACCAAGAGGGGGTCTGGCTGTTGGAAATTCGGCCATGACCTCAAGGAGGCTTTTCATATTGCCAACAATCCATTGTGCATATTCATCCTGTATCAAAAGAAGACCAAAGTTACACCAACAAGAATTTTAGTGGGACTAAATTAACAACAAACATTTTGATCAATTCACAACCTTTCCAGCAGGTGAAGCAAGGTGCCTTAGTTTATCAGCTTCAGTTGGATCAGTAGCATGAGCTGCTAAAGCGAGTAAAGAAGACTGGAAACCATAACAATGGAACAATCAATTACTCAAAACATAAAAAAATTTTAAAAAAATCATGTTAAGAATACTTAAAATAATGAAAAATACACAACGCAAAGAGTGAAGAAAACAGCTAACCTTTTTGGGCGAACTCAAAAGATCAGCATATCTTTTGAGAGCTGTTCTTAAGGTGCATGGTGGAAAAGGGGGTGGCAAGGAACTTCCGCCAAGGGGTGTGCCATCCTCTTTGTCAGTATGTACGGAGAAATATGTATCTGGTGACAAACCTAACAACTGCAATGCTTCCTCTACAATTTCATCAAGATTCTCACAGTATACAGCAACATGATCCCCAGTTTCATATCTGAAGAAAGAACCAGTCATCAGTACAACTGCTCCTTGTTAGCGACAATCAGAAAACCTTTTTTTTTTTTTTTAAATTCTTTTTTTCTCAATAGGATGTCATTCTTCGGGGAATAAATCTTAAATCCAACAACTTACGTGAGTCCAGTGCCAGCAATGTCAAACTCCAAATGGGTGCAAGAACGATCAGATGCAGGTGTATGAAGTTCCTTTCTCACAACAACATTAGACCTAAGTTGCAAACAGGATAGGTTTAGATAATGAGCAAAAATGATGAATGATTTATATATATATATATATACACTTATTTTTTTGATACCTGCATGGATGTTGAGCATCATAAACAGCATGCCCATTTGCATTACTCCAGTTTTTATCCTCTACAGGTGCATTTTCAGGATCATAAAATACAACCCTATATTCTAATACAGCAGCTGTATAGGGCGTAGAAACAGCTGGGGCATCATTCTCATCCCGGAGTAGCTCATCCAACTCAGGCCATAGTGATTCCTTCCTGAAATAGCCAGCAGAAAATATGGGAGCAAAATATAAGTCTCTCTTATAATAGAGTCAAACTGTTGATGCATGAGAGGTTCAAGATCTTCATACCAAGCAGTGAAGTCATCCTCAATGCATTGGTCATCATCTCCAAGACCCACTGGGACAAGGCGTTTTGCACCTGCAAATGCAAAGAGCATATTATATTGATGAACAGAAATAATTGGCAAGTTGCAACACTATCACTTGTCTTTTGGATAAAAAACATGTGTTATATTATGCTTTCCAAGCAAATGAAGTACGTCAAAAAGAAGCCTAAAGAAACACCAAGTACATGCCCAAACCATTCAACACAGGTAGGCGATGTGTCATTCGTACAAACAAGAGTGTGGAGCGTGCTTCTGAGATGCAACTCTTCAATGCATGATTACATTCCTACAAACTTCTTTTCACCTTCGAATAGAGTTTGTTGCATATTATCTATTCACAAATTCTAACAAAAGAATGCATAAAAAATATGGGAAAACAATTTTAATGAAAGTCAATAAGTGACAGGATGATCACTGCCACATCAAATCTCTGTTTGTAACTTTATTTTAATTTTTTAACATATCAATTCATAAAGTATCAACAGTCAAATAAGCAACCATCGCAAAATCAACAAGAAAAGAGTGAAGGAAAATGGAAAAGCATACCCTGCTCAGCAAGAATCTCATCCAACACTTTACCAATCTGTTCAATAATAACAAAAGCACATATATAACATCAACCAACCAAATCAACCACATAAATAAGACAATGAATAAATAAACTTATTGGATCGCATTAGATACCTTATTAAAATGTTCGTACTGCTTGTTACCGAGGCCAAACACTCCAAACTTAAGGTTCTGAAGCCATTCTCCTCTCTCGTTTCCCTGTACACATAATCATTTACATAATCAATCTACCAGGGAATAATCATAATTTGATACAAGAAAAAAAACATACAATCCAATCAAACTTTACCTCTGTAAACCATTTATAGAACCTGGCTGCATTATCAGTTGGCTCACCATCTCCATAACTAAAATCACATTAACAAAAAATGTAAACAAAAGACCGATACAGGAAATTTAAAAAAAAAAAAAAAATTTCAATAAACTATGCATCTTATACTCACGTAGCGACAAAAAACAAACATAAAGACTCCTTTTTCAATTTCCTTTCGTACTCATCATCATCAGCTGCAAATTCATCCTATCACCAAATTGACAATTCAAAAATCATGTCAATCAAAAAACACAGTAAACCCATCCCATCATAAAATTTATTCAGAAAAGAAAATTAAAAAATAAAAAGAAAGAAAGAAATTCAAAAAAAAAATTTAAAAAAAAAAACAGAACAAGAAAGAATCTCAAACTTACTAAATCAACAACTCTGAATGTTGCTTTTTCATACCGTGCTTTTGCCTCTTCAGCCAAAGCCTATTATGATAAATTCAAGTCAAAAATTCAGTACGACGCAAACAATCAAAACCAAGACCAGCTAAACTAACAACAGTGCTAAACCAACCTTAGCGAATCCTTCAGCAGTTCCAGTCTGAGTACCAAAGAATATAGTAACTTTTTTCTGGCCGTCATCAACTTCAGGTTCAGGCTCCTTTACAATCAACGGTTTAGGAGGTTCAATAATGGCAGTCTTAGATTTCTGACCACTAGATCTTCTCAACACCAACACCACCGCACAGCCAATCAAAACAGCGATCGACGTCGTTAAAATCATAACAAATTCACGATTCTCAAGAAACATAGTGGCTACCTCAACAGCTCCCGATTCCGACGACACATTCGTCGGGTCTATATTGCCTTTAATAATTGCCGACATCAGATCAAACGGTGATATCTTCATTGAACCAGTTGAAGGTTGCATGGTATTATTTAATCAAATAACTTACTAACCAACCACAAAAAGCTTTTAAATGGTGGCAAGAGAAGAGAAAAAGAGGAATAGAAAGAGCGCTCAGTTATGCTGCTGCTTCTTTTCTTCAAGTTCTGCTTCTTTCTTGCGTTCTGCGTTTGCTTTAGGGCTTTTTGCGGTTGGTGGTGGGTGAGAATGTAGGTAAAGAAAGGCGAGTTAGTGGTAGAGCAAGCTTCCTGAAGAGGGTAGGAGAGAAATGGCGTGGGCTTTTAATAGTGTGTTAGAGGAGAAGGGAATGAAAGAGAGAAGCCAGAAGCGCCCACCAAACCAGACTGGTCAAAATCACCTAACACAAAGTTAACTATGGTTAAAACTACTACTCTAAAGAGAGTTAAGTTTGAGAAAAGGGATAGAAAAGTAAATTTCTTTTATTTTTATTTATTTATGAGCTAATTAGTGGAGTTCTAAAATGTTGTTCTTTTTCTGTCTTATTCTCTCTCAGAATTTCACTACCAAGAGCAAGATATATACCTTGGTTTGCCACTTTCTATGACGAAAAGTTTGGTTAACGATGTTTTAAAGAAAATTTACTTTTTTTTTTTTTTAAGAGAATAAATAAATTTTCAATGCTAATTAAACATTTAAACTACTTTCTGTGAAATGCCAAAGACCAAAGTATCCTTGGTATTGATTTTTAGCTCCTTTCTATTTTAACAGCAACGTCTCATATTCTATTTATTTTTATAAAATAACTTACAGAAAAATATTTTTCATTGCCACTTTCTATGACGAAAAGTTTGGTTAACGAAATGTTTTAAAGAAAAATTTACTTTTTTTTTTTTTTAAGAGAAATAATAAATTTTCAATGCTATAACAATTTAATTTTTTTTTTTTTTAAGAGAATAAATAAATTTTCAATGCTAATTAAACATTTAAACTACTTTCTGTGAAATGCCAAAGACCAAAGTATCCTTGGTATTGATTTTTAGCTCCTTTCTATTTTAACAGCAACGTCTCATATTCTATTTATTTTTATAAAATAACTTACAGAAAAATATTTTTCATAATTTTCCGTAATTTAAGACATTTAAAAAAATAAGTCAATAAAAAATATTTTTCTACTAAAAAAAAATTAAGTCATTTTTAAAACAAATAATTTTTAATTTTTAAAAACATAAAATATTTTTCGAGCTGTGATAAATTTATTATAATTTTATAAATATCTATTTAATGCTATTAGCGCGAAACGGGGCCAATATTTTCTAGTTCTATCTTCTATTCAATCAGGCAGGAAGCAGGAATGGAATGCTCGACACAGCTGCTGGAACTACTTTTTAAATAATAATAATTGAACCAAAAAGTATATAGTAATAACAATATATATTATTATTAGAATTATTACTGTTAAGAAATCATAATAGTTTAAAATAATTATTGTTTCAATAAACAAACATTTATCTGTTGTTTCGATCAAATTATTGAACAGAATTATAACTGCAATTATAATTATAAGTGCAGCACGTTAAAAAATTGAACTTTAGATCAAAATAAAATATCAACAATGCATTAATTTTTCTTCCATTTTTTAAAGTGAAACTGCTATATATTATTTAATGTAATAATATTTAATAAATTGTTTTAATTTGTAAATAGTCTTAAATAAAGTGATTCCATAAAATTATTTTTTCTAATAATCATTTTCTTCAACTCTAGAATTACGTTTTGACGATAATATAAATAAATCAATTATCAACTAATAAATAATAGTTATAGTGTGTTGTAATCTAGTTGATCTTATAATAAAAATTATCACCAAATAAAGAGAAAAAAAAAAAGTTATGATTCACAATATTATTTCGGTTCCTTAATCTTTTTATAAATAAAAAAGCAATTAATAGTTATTAATTTTTTAATAGCTAGATCTTAACAATTTTATGATTGATCATTTGTTGAACAGGGTTGAGTCGATGACATTTGAGTTGAGTCGCATTTTGGGTCAAAGTCCAAATTATCAACTCAAAACCTCTTGTTTTATTTTAGAAACCACATGGCCCATATGCATTATTGACTATCTCTTTAAAAAAATGGTGTAAGATATAAAAATTCACCTGTCAGACCTTCAAGGAATGTGAGGGTCGTTGGCTTGCTCAACATTGCCAACTCTTAGATGACGGTCAATTTTTACCATTCGCGATTGGCAGGTCTTCTGTTGCATACGCAATAATAATAATAATAATAATACCATTGAAGAAATTTTAAAATCAAAGAGTTTGACCTGATCATTTTTTAATTAAGATATAATTTTCATTTTATAAAATGAGTGCAAAATATTTGTTAAATTTAATAATTAGAGGCAATCAGATAGCCTGATTAGTATTTTCATTCATGTGGAGAATGAGATATCTCAAGTTCGAGTCACATTTACTATAAGTGTTTTCATTAATGAAAATTGAGCATAATTTTGGTAAAATCGACTCATTTAAATTCAGTTTTTAGTATATACAATTTAATTTTAATTTTGATAAAAACTAATTTTTTTTATTCGGTTTCATTAAATAAATAAAAAAGCATGAACCCATCCAAGAATGATTAAAAAAACTCAAACACATAATTAAATCGATTCGATTTAATTTAATTATATGCACAGATCGATTTAGTTTGTTTTTATCTTAAAAATAAACGGTAAAATCAAGTGGTTTAATGGATATAAATTTAGGAACTATTAATTAATATTACTAAATTGTAAGGATGACTTATTTAGTTTGATTAAACCTCGTAGATGAATTAATTTTTTTTCCTTTAAAAAATTAAAACAAAAAAGTCTAAGCTTTTATAGTTTAAAAAATTGAAACTTCTTCGCCTTCAAATAAATCAGCTAACCCAAAACATTTAAAATGAACGGACATTTAAAAATAGGGTAAATTATTATTTAGTCTCTCAGGTTTTATATAATTAACCAACTAATCCCAAGTTTTGAGTAAATATCTAGTTAGTTCCTCAGGTTTAACTCCGTCTAATTATTATTTTTTTTTTTTTTGGAAATGGGTATTAAAATCAGTCAAACTTTTAATACTCCTGACAATTTTGCAATTAATATTCCTTGTATGGATTTTCATCAATGAATGTCAAAGTTGACCCATATTTTTAAGATTGTCTGATAGTAGAAAACACGAGAAGAATTTATAGGACGGACAGTTGAGCCATATTTAAGAGTTACTGACTTACTGTCATATTTTGTGGGGCTTAATTTTGCCTGTCATATATCACATTAATATATTTGAATTTAAATTGATAAAATAAAATATATAATAAATATCAATAATAATAATAATAATTCTAATCTAGTATTCTATTAATTTTAATGATAAAAGTATAATATACACAATATGTAAAGTGTGTACTGTTTGTTATACTCACTTTCCCTTTTGTTCCTCCTATGCTATAATGATATACCTAATTTATCTTTTGCACAGATAACCTTACATTAAATATTAATATTCATATTCAAAGTTGTGAAATTATAATAATATAGGTGACAATAATAATTACTTTTTTATCTATAAATATTATCGTATAATAACTATTATTTTAGAGCAGGTGTTTTCTCCGCAAAATAAACCCCTTTTTTTTTTTTTTTTTTTCAGAATATTAATGAGTAATTATTTTTTTTTTCAAAATTTTATCCTTATTTATATTAAAATTTAATATTATTTTTATAATTTTCCAAAATTCATATAGCCATCTCCCTCTCTTACTACTTAAGGTTACGTAATAAAATTAATTAATATTTTGTTATAATTTATAAGAATAAATTTACTTACTTAATTACCATAAAAATATTAAAAGTATTTATGAATAGATGGAATACTTTGTTTTTTTTTTTAGATTTTATCAATGATAATAGAAATGTTTCTTGATAAAATTTGCATATTAAATATGAATAAAATAGAAAATATGTTTATTACTTTTTTTTCTAAAAAAGAAACTATGATGATAATTTGGGGTAAAAAGAAAAATGAAGTAATTACTTTTTTGAAGATGTATTTACTTTCATGATTCACTCAAATTTAATAATATTTAATTAGAACATCAAATTAATTTTTTTATCCTTTTTTTAATACTGTCTTTGTTTTATAATACTTGTCAGATTTGAGAAAATAGTTTGTTCTAAAATATTTGTCTAATTTAGTCTAGAAAATAGTTTGTTCTAAAATATTTGTCTTTTAGGGAAAATTATTATTTAGTCTTTTAGTTTATACAATTCCCTCCCTTATCGCTTCATACTGGTCCCCGTCAGCTAAGGATGGGTTTTTTAGTCTTTTAGTCTTCAATTAACGGAAAAAAACTAACTTTCGGACGGAAGGACCTTTCAATTAGACGGAGTTAAACTCGAGGGACTAGTTAGATATTTGTGTAAAACTTGGGATTAGTTAGATAATTATGTAAAACTTGAGGGACTAGATAATAATTTTATCTTATGGTCCACGTCAGCTAGGGAGGAGTGTTTTAGTCTTTTAGTCTTCAATTAACGAAAAAAAACCAACTTTTCGGACAGAATGACCTTTTAATTAGACGGAGTTAAATTTTTTTTTTTAAATATCCATTGGGATTTATTGATTACATAATTAAATTTATTCTCAATTGAAGCAAAATATTTATGCTAATAGTAAAAAGAAAAAAAAAAATTATTGATTACATAATTAAATTTATTCTCAATTGAAGCAAAATATTTATGCTAATAGTAAAAAGAAAAAAAAAAAAGAGAAATTGGAAAGAAAATTCATAACAAAAATTAGTCACACTATGGTTAAGTTTTTCTTTTCTTTTCTTCTTCATTACACAGAACATCAGCATCGCTTATTGCAAAATTTATATTTAAAAAAAAAAAAATGATAATGTTGTGAATGAATTGAGGTGGATTGAACTTTGACTAGCTCAAACTTGACTTCTTGATGATGAGAGAGTTGAGCTAACTCGAATATTAGCATGTTCATATAAAGTTCATGAACTAAATTAAATTTAATTTTTTTTAATAAATTCGATTATGGTTATAGATATTTTCAAGTCAATTATATATATTTCTCTATATCCGCTTATTGTATAATAAATACTATTTTTTATTATTCCCCAATTGCTCCTGATGGTATTGAACTTAGGTTAAAAATGAAAGGGATTTCTCATCTTTATAAACAAGAATAAAAAAATTTGAAAACATAAGAAATAATTAATAAGTTTTTAATAAACTATTATCAAAATGTTATATA